GACCTTGCCCTTAATGAGGATTTTATTAATAACCTCAAATGTGAGGGAAGTGAAGACAAAAGTAAATGAGTGGGACTATATCAAACTAAAAAGCTTCTGCACAGTAAAAGAAATCGCCAACAAAACAAAAAGGCAACCAACCAAATGGGAGATATTATTTGCAAACAACAGCTCTAGGAAGGGGTTAATCCCCAAAATATACAAAGAATTCATACAACTCAGTGCCAAACAAATGAACAATACTATTAAAAAATGGGCAGAGGACCTGAACAGACACATCTCCCAAGAAGACATGCAAACGACCACCAGACAGATGAAAAGATAAGCAAACTAAGGTTCTGTGCTAAATCTAGCCCGGACTCTGGGCTAAATTTTTTTTTTTAATACTTAAATATTTGTAAAAACAAAAATAAATAAGTAAAAAAGAACGTGTGACCTTCTGTGCCCTGCAAAGTCCAAAATATTTACTATCTGGTCCTTTAGGAAAAAAAAAAAAAAAAAGAAAAGCCAACCCTTGATTTAGAAAACCAAATCGGATATTTAACAAGTATCAGATTGGGGGTATGAAAAAAGCTCAAAAGACTCCTAAGTCTGATAGTTAAATAGCATTAAAATTCACCGGAGATAATTGTAGTTTTCACAAGGTAAAACCTCAAGTTAAAAGTACCAGTATTTGTAACTTCAAAATAATGACTTGTCAATTCAAAATTATAAATGCCTTATTTAAAATCAATGAGATACAAACACTGGCTTCAAACTCATAGAGAACAGACTGATGGTTGCCAGAGGGGTGAGGAGTTAGGGAACTGGGTTAAAAAGGTGAAGGGGCCCTGGCTGGTGTGGCTCAGTGGATTGAGCGCTGGCCTGAGAACCAAAGGGTCGCTGGTTTGATTCCCAGTCAGGGCACAGGCCTGGGTTGAGGGACAGGTCCCCAGCAGGGGGTGCGTGAGAGGCAACCCACACATGGATGTTTCTCTCCCTGTCTTTCTCTGTCCCTTCCCCTCTGTCTAAAAATAAATAAATGAAGTCTTACAAAAAAGGTGAAGTGATTAAGAAGTACTAATTAGTAGTTACAAAACAGTCTTGGGGGATATAAAATACAGCAATGGAAATACAGTCTATAATATTGTAATAACTATCTATGGTGCCAGGTGGGTACTGGAAATATCTGGGGAATCACTTTGTAAAATATGATGCTGCATACCTAAAACTAATACAAAGCAAAATTGAATGTAAGCTGTAAAAAACAACGGGCTTCCTCCAAAATATAACAGGTTCTAGAACAGAATTCTATCATACAGAGATTTACAAATAACAAGATTGAAGCTCAGCCAACCAACCTAGACCAGACCCTTACTATCTGTTTGGTAAAGTAGTGGAATTACAAATTCTAGCTCTATTACTTACTAGCGGGGTGGCTTTGGGCAAACGATTCGATTCGGTATCAATCTCCACATAGTAATATTACGTATCTATCTCCCAGGGACAAGCACAGAAAAAGGGCTCACGCATATTAATTATCATCATCATCATCTCCATCATCATCGTCAACCTCCTAGTCAATGGCTACCGCTCTATTCTCATCTAATTCCAACCAACTCTAATTACCACTGTCAAACCAAAATAAAACTTCTTTTGTCAGTCAGGTTACTGCCCTGCAAGTGAATAAATTGCCCCCCTCTTTCCTAGCACACTATTTAATACCCCCTCCCCTCTGGTAACCACCATACCGCTGTTTGTCCTTGAGTTTCAGCTTTATATCCCTCATGAGTGAAATCATATGGTTCTTAGCTTTTTTTGACTGACTCATTTCGTTTAGCATATTGTCAAGGTCCATCCATGTTGTCACAAATGGCAGTATTTCATCTTTTCTTATGACTGAGTAATACTCATTCCATAGTATATATGTACCACATCTTCTCTCTCCAAATATCTATCGAGGGTCATTTCCATTGTTTCCATGTCTTGGTAACTGTGAACACTTGGTAAGTGTTGCAATGAACATAGGGATGCATATGTCTTTGCAAATAAATGTTTTCAAATTTTGGGGGTAGATACCCAGGAGTTGCTGGGTCATATGGTAACTCTACTGTTAATTTTTGGAGGAGCCTCCACACTGTTTTCCACAGTGGCTGTGCCAGTTTACAGTCCCACCAGCAGTTTATGAGGGTTCCCTTTTCTTCACAACCTCTCCACTCTTGTTATTTTTTTTTGTCTTATTGAGAAAAGCTATTCTAACAGGTGTTAGGTGTGAACTAGCAATCCCTCAATCCCTATTCTGGGAATCTACACAAACCCCCACCCCACTGCCAATTTTTTTCCTAACATATTTTTTATTTTTAAACAATTAAAAAAAGGTTTTATTTATTTTTTAGAGAGGGGGAGGGACAGAAACACTAATGTATGGTTGCCTCTTGTGCACCCCCTACTGGGGACTGGGGACCTGGCCCACAACCCAGGCATGTGCCCTGACTGGGAATCAAACCGGCAACCCTTTGGTTCGCAGGCCAGCACTCCATCCACTGAGCCACACCAGCCAGAGCTTGACCTTTTTAAATGAAAAATTTGCTACCCCTTCCTAAGATTTCTTTCTTTCCTTCTACCACAATACCTCTCTAAAGAGAAATAGACACCATCCTTTCAGAAGGAGGCAATATTAGTGGAAAGATCACAGATTTTGGAGACAAACATACGTGTGTTTGAACCTGGCTGTTCCACTTATCAGCTGTAATGACCAAAAGCAAGCATTTTTTTGTAAGCCCAAGTTTTTCCCTATGTAAAATGGGGATATTACCAGTTTCTTATGGTCATCAAGAGAATTAAATGGAAATAACACATGTAAAGCAGCTGGCCAAAGGCGGTGATAAATGAATGCCCGCCTCCCATTGCTTATTGTTTCCTTAACCCCTTACAGTCTAGGCTCTCTGTGTACCACTGCATATACCTCTCCCTGTACCTCCTTGTTTCACTACAGCTCCCATTAGCATTATAAGTTTGGGCTCTTTCCTTAGCTTTTCTGAACCTTAGTTTTTCATTTGTAAACTGATCATAATATCTACAGTATAAAGTTGTCTTGAAAATTAAGTGAAATAACATATGTAAAGAACTTTAACATAGTGCCTGGCTTTGTGGTAAGCACCAGAGAAATGGTTGCTGCCAGTGACTTATTAATGGCCAAATCGAAAGACTATTCAACTGTCTCCTTCTCTAGTCTTCAGTGACAAGACTGTATAATCTGGTTTGGTCCTGTGGCAAGCCTCTAACGTTTCTCTAAATGCAAGCTGTCTGTATTACATGTTGCATGTTCACTGTTTAATATCTTTTATCTGATTGTCTGGCACTTACTTTTTCATGTAGAATTTATTGAGTTCCTAATATAAGTCACACCTGTGCTATGTACTAAGGATAGAAACATTAATGTTACCATTACTGTCCTCAAGTAGTTTATAATTTAGAAGTATTGCATAGACAAGTAAATAGTCCATTACTTGCAATGTGGTAAGTCATATGGTAAGAGCATGTCCAGGGACTTAGTTTTGGAGCACAAAGAGGAGTTATTTAAATTAGATTGAAGGGGTTCAGGACACTATGTTTTTTAAAATTTTATTTATTGATTTCAGAGTGGGAGGGGGAGAAGGAGGGGGGGAGAGAGAGAGAGAGAGAGAAACACTGATTTGCTGTTGCACTTATTTGTGCATTGACTGGTTGCTTTTTGCATGTGCCCTGACCAGGGATCGAACCCACAACCTTGGAGGACAATGCTATAACCAAGTGAGCTACTCAGCCAGGGCCCAGGGCACTATGTTGTAAAAGGCATTTTGTGGTTAGTATATGTGGAGTCAATGCAACTTTATCTGTTAAATGAGCGAATCAACTACGAAGAGGAACTGCTTAGATAAGGATGGGAAGAGCACCTCGGGGCCAGAGAAAGAGACAGCTTTCCCTAAAGCGCCTGGAGTACCACTGTTGGGACAGTTTCTGAGAGACAGAAGATGGAATTGTAAAGCCGGGGCTGGCTGTTCTAGACACAGGAGTCCGACCGGACAGCAGATGGCAGACAATGGAGTGCCAGTAAGAGTTTTTATGTAGGGGAGGGGCATAATCTGATGTGTATATTATTTTAAGTACTAGCATAGCACTGCAGGGGAAATAGATTCCACAAGAGTCAGGCTGGAGACAGTGACTCCCGTTAAAATGGTGTCGTGATAAATCAGGTAAATTATCACAGCAGGGATTCCAGAAATGGAGTTAAAATGGCGAATTAAGAGGGATACGGAGCCAATTTAAACACTGAGTGAACGGCATGATTCATATCTGTTTGTCCTGAAAGCAGTGCGTTTAACAACGAAAAGCGCGCTTCCAATATAGATATATGTCTACTACTGTTACTCAAATCGACTTGGGCAAGTCACCTAGCAGCCAGCGTAGTCACTTCCTGGATACAGGTGCCTAAAGAGGCACGTTTCCCCCTACAGAACCCAAAACAGAAAGGCTTGTGATTCCAACCCGCAGATTAACGACAGTATGCAAAACCCGTCAACTGCAGAGAGACCATTAGACCTGTCTATCCCGGTGTATTTTCAACCCAAATAATGTTTGAAGAAAGTCCTTCAAAGGGTCATGAGGCCCGATCCTGTGCACCCAGACAGATGCCCAGGACTCTTTCCTCTTTCAGTTCAACACCCAAACGTCGCTCGTCGCCCAGCCCGGTATTTTCACCCAGCGGCTGCCCAGTTTGCATTGTGTCAACTCTATAAACAGTTAACCGCAGGCAATTCAAGAGAGAGTACAGTCCCAGGCTGAGAAAACTCTTTAACGGGAGGCAGGTGCCTTCAGGTTTCAAACAGTAAAGATTCCCTGACAATTCTCTCACAAGCTCACATCCACCCCGCCTACCGTCATGCGCTAAATTCTTGAAGTTAGGAAGCTCCCGTCCACAGTTACTATAATGCTATCCGCCCTCCAGAACAAGTAAGCAAGTTTTTTTTTTCTCAACTTACCCTTACAGCCGCCATGTCTGTGACCCTCTCCACCCAAGTTTTCGTACGGAGAGCGAAGACGGACAAAAGAGTCCAACCCAGCTCAGTTCGCCACAGCTCCGCCTGGCCACGCCCTCTGTGCTCCGAGTCACGCCCCTGTGTTCTGAGTCACGCCCCCTGTCCGCTGGCTCCTGCCCTTTCTCCGCGGTCCTACAGCTTCTAGCTACACAGTATACCTGCTGTCTCCCGGAGAATTCATCCTTATGGTTGACTGTCTCAGTTCCCTATAAAGCCTTTCACAATATTCTCCATAGTCTAGTTGAACGTTACTTTGCTCGGTGCAGAATATTTTATTATTTTCATACTGTCAGGCGTATGCGATTTGTCTAGATAAGGATTTAAAACTCGAGTCCGGCTGCCTTAACAAATAACTATATCCTCACAAAGCAAACGTTACTTCTGAGATAGATGGACAAGTTCACATATCCTAAGACTATGTCACTAACCACCTACTATATGCTAAGCGCCTGTTCAAGGTACAGAACAAGGCATACTGCTTACCCAATGGACCTTATGTTTCCGGGAAGAAAACAGACACAAATAAATGTTACAAAGTACCAGATACCATGAAAGAAAATAAAACAACATGGGCTTACATTGGTTAGAAAAAGTCTTTCTAGTAAGCTGACAATACAGAAAAGTCCAGAAGGAACTTAGGGAAGAGGGTTCCATGCATAAGGAAGAGCAATGACATTGCATTTGGTTCTGAAGAAGATGGGAAGTCAAAGAATGGTTTTAAGCAAAAATGTGGCATGACCTATGCTAGATTTTAAAAGGATCATATTGGTGCTGTATGGAAAATATATTGTGGATAGATGCAATATTCTCAACACGAGCAACATCCACCCTACGCTTCCAGTGAACGATTCTAAGGAAAGAAGATGCTCATAATCTGTCTACCAACATATCCAATATAAATTCATTTATTCATTCAACAAATATTTAACTAAAGACTATATATGTATACATATATCAGACATCACTGACATACCCAGCATATTTGACATCTGAAGCAGATCATTTTTATATGTTATTGTTTATGCTATTATAGTTGTCTCCAGGTTTTCCCCCATGAATGGTCCCCATGCAATCCCCATACCGTTCATTTTTTAACAGCCTTCTCCTCTATATGATGTAATTATTTTAAGAAATAATGGTGAAATTAAACAATTAATGGAGGCCACAAAAGAAACAGGGCGCTCTTTTGTGGATCTCTCTCTCTCTCTCCCCCCCTTCTCCGTCCCTCCCTCTCTCCCTCCCTCCCTCTCTCTCTGTTGTGCTAGCCTAAAAATAAAATAGAAAATAAATAGTACAGTAAAAAAGTAATGGGCGATGTACTAACAACAAACACCAAATTTTGATGTTTTCTAATTTCATTAATGTATTTTTAAAGGAGAAAGAACTCACACCTTCATATTGTTCTACTGTGGTGATGAATAATACTATTACAGTTTTTGATGTGACTTTTAACATCCTCATATTTGTCAATGACTTCTTAAAAATCTAATATTTTTACACATTTAATAGATGGTATAGATAAACTTGTGAATCTTTGTTCATAGTTGATAGATGAACACTTTTCATTAAGTTTAACATTACTAAATGTTATTTCATATTAAAAAACATACAAATATGAAAGGTCTTAACATTGTGAATAAGTTTGGATGAGAATCCAAAAAATCTGATTTCATTAAGTTTCATAAATTACCATCCATGTCTGCTTGTTCAGGATTAAATCTAGAGGCATTCACATGTTTCACACTTGAAAATTTCAAAAAGAATATATTTTTAAAAAAGATTTTATTTACTTATTTTCAGAAAGGGGAAGGGAGGGAGAAAGAGAGGGAGAGAAACATCCGTGTGCGGCTGCCTCTCGCGCGTCCCCTACTGGGGACCTGGCCCACAACCTAGGCCTGTGCCCTGACTGGGAATCGAACTGGCGACCCTTTGGTTCTCAGGTCAGCGCTCAATCCACTGAGCCACACCAGCCAGGGCTCAACTGAAATATCTTCACTAGAAAACTAATCATAGATTCCTATAATAGTTAAAAAACTTCACAAGTTCTTTTTCTGTGAAAATGTCTGAATGAAAAGAAACATTGGCATCATTTCATCTATTTCTTTAGAACAAGCACCCAGTGTTTAGTGCAAATTATCAAGCTATTAAGTAACTGCCCTTTTGGTTTCTTCTGATAAGGTCAGACCAGCATCTTCTGTTATTTCTCCTGCCACAGTTTTTTTTCCCCCCAGCATTTGAATATTCTGTCTATATAGGTATTCATTTCCTTAGACTGTATTGTTTTTGCATAGTAAACGTCTTTTTCCACAATTTTGTGACCCGACCTTCAATGAAATAAGTTTTTTACAATTTTAAAAAAGATTTTATTTATTTTTAGAGAGAGGGGAAGGGAGGGAGAGAAACATCTATGTGTCAGGACCTGGCCCACAACCCAGGCATGTGCGTTGACTGGGAATTGAACGGCCACCCTTTGGTTCGCAGGCTGGCACTCCATCCACTGAGCAGCACCAGCCAGGGCTTCAATGAACAATTTAAAACTTCGTTTTTTACTTTGCATCACTCACGACTAATTTTGGCTGTTAGCCCATATTTTTAAGTCTGATTAATAGCCTCATCCAAAGTTTCACACCAGACACATTTTAACTTAGTGAAACATTTCATATATGAATTAAAAGTCATATTTTCATAACAGAAATTACACCTGGAATTTTGCACTGTTTTACTGTTCTTTTTTTAAGATTAAAAAACATTTAGTTTTAGAGAGAAGGGATGGGACAGAGAAAGAGGGAAAGAGAAACATGGATGTGTGTTTGCCTCTCACAAGTCCTCAACTGGGGACCTGGCCCGCAACCCAGGCCTGTGCCCTGACCAGGGATCGAATGAGCAACTGGGCCATACCAGCCAGGGCTCTTTCACTGTTTTAAATTTATTTTTAAATATTTTATTTATTTATTTTTAGAGTGGGGAAGTGAGGGAGAGATACATCTGTGTGTAGTTGCCTCTTGCGCTCCCCCTACTGGGGACCTGGCCCACAACCCAGGCCTGTGCCCTGACTGGGAATCAAACCGGTGACCCTTTGGTTCACAGGTCAGTGCTCAGCCCACTGAGCCACAGCAGCTAGGGTTACTGTTTTAAATTTTAAACACAAAGTAGTCACACAGATGGAAGAATTTGGAGTAACACCGGTTCTGTTTCTGTCTTTGAGAATCATTGTGCTGTCATTCATTTGTAACGTAGCACCACAGGGAATGGAGGCAAACTGCACTGAAACTGAGATGCAACAATTGGTAAACTCGGTGAACTTATTCTCTAAAGAAATATGTATAGTTCAGTCAACATGTTTTTGGAGACCGACTGTATAAGCAAGAATTTTTCAAATTAACTTTCAGGAAGCAAACAGTATTTGTGAAAGGATAAGTTAAAAAAGTACCAGTTTGAAAGATTAAATGTGTGTTGCTAAAACTCAAGAGTACCACAAAATTTGTTTAGAATTTAGATCAATAAAAAGATTCTTGCACCCCTATGTTAATTGCAGCATTATTTAGAATAAACCAAGCTATGAAAGCAACCTAGGTGTCCATCAATAAGTGAATGGATGAATAAGAGGACACACACACACACACACACACACGCACGCACGCACACTGGAATATTACTCAGCAAAAAAAAAAAAAAAGAGAGAGAGAGAGAGAAGAAAATCTTGTCATTTGAGACATTATGCCAAGTAAAATAAGCAGTGAAAGACAAATACCAACTAGTGTCTCTTATATGTAAAATCTAAAAACAAAACAAACAAACAAGCAAAACAAAAACAAAAACAGACTCATAGAAACAGATTAAAATGATAGTTGACAGAGGGGAGAAGGAGGAAAGATCGGTGAAAAATGTAAAGGGATATATACTCAATGATATTGTCATAAGTTTGCATGGTGATGGATGATTGCTACACTTCATGTGATCTCATTTTAAGATGCATAAACATCGGGGAGAATCAAGATGGCAGAGGAGTGAGTGGAAGTCACACTGACCTCCTCGCAGGACCAACCTGGAATTCCAAGTAAATTGTGGAGAAATCACCTGGAACAAACAACTGAACAATAGCGAGAGAGGAGCCTTTTATAACCTCAGAGAGACAGAAGAATCAGCTTTAGCACAACCTGACTGGTAAGGAGTGTGGTAGACACTCGAGAAAGCAGGCGGGGCGCCCACAGGGAGCAGCACCAGAGGGATATTGAAACGGCCAGTGGGATCCCCCTGAGATGAGTGGGGTCTAAACCATAAATGGGGGTCCCCAGCCTCCAGCACCAGAGCCCAAAAGTACACAGATAGCAGCCAGCCGCAAAAAGCGGCAGGGTCGCTCTCGGGCAGAGATGGGCAGCTAGAGGTGCAAAGAGCTGTTTAAGGGGTCAACAAATAAAGTTTTATTTGCAGCCATTTGCCCTGGTCTCCAGCAAAGGTGGGGGTAGAGTAGGCTAGAGATGTGTGAGGAGAGACTGGGAAAGGAGGCTCTGGGGAGAGAACTGAGAGAGTAGCTGGCGGGATCCCAGTGCTGACTCCTCCCCCATATGGCAGCAGGCATCTGGCTCAGGCAGACTACGCCCCTGAGCGGCAACAGTGTGGGAGGACACAATAGCCCCACCCCCAGGAGGGACTCTGACTCAACCTCTGGTGTCTCTCAGCTGGCCTGCTGAGCGCAGAATGTCAGACTCAGAGAGTAGATCCCTGGTTAAATGGGGTGCAGAGTGGTTTACAGAGAGTTGGGGAGAGACAGGAGACAGAGGCTTTCGGGAGAGAATGGAGAGAGTAGCGGGCAGGATCCTAGTGTTGACTCCTCCCCGATATGGCAGCAGCCATCTGGCTCAGGTAGACCACTCCCCTGAGTGGCAGCAGCGTGAGAAGACCAATAACCCCACCCCCAGCAGGGACTCTGCCCTGCCCTGTGGTGTCTCTAAGCCAGCCTGCTGAGTGCGGAGTGACTAGATTAACAGCTGAAGGGGACAG